TCTCTGTCTGTTTGTCTGTTTGTCTGTCTCTCTGTCTGCCTGTCTGTCTCTCTGCCTGTCTGTCAGTGTGAGAGGGAAACGGATGAGGGAGTTGTGCAATTGTGTGTTTTCTGAATGTGCCTGTGTGGCTGCTTGTGTGTGAGCTTGCATCTGGTTCTCTTATTTTATTACTTTTGATTTTTTTTGTGTGTCTCACTTTGTGACGGGCATGTCTGTGTTTACTGCAGCCCTGCGAGTGAACATCTGGGATATGAGACCCAAACATGCAAAAGGAAACATAAGTCATCAACATCAAAACAAGTAGTTCCTGCACATAATGGCTGTATTTATATTTTGCAGTAAGCCATTTAAAACTGGCACGAGAACAAGGGAGATCCTGTTCAGATTATGATCCTTCGTGATGCATTCTGGCCTTTTTTTATTTTTTATTTTAGCCCTGCTGTGCTGAGCAGAGCGGTCGGTAAGGACTGAAGTAGATCGTGGTTTTGATAATCCCAGTTTAATGAATCTACATATCTACTTGGCACACTGCATTGAGCCCTTTTTTCCCTTTGACTGCACCAAATAGGAAATTCACTGCAATTTGGTCTTGGAGTAGAGGCCCTTGATTTTAATCTCAGACAGTTGTTTCTGTTTCACATTGTGAACGTGTTGCTGTGTGTTCATGCACCTTTAGGCTAAAGGTTTTGAGCTGAGCTACTTGGAGAAAGTCCCGGAGGTGAAGGACACGGTTCACAAACAGTCTCTGCTGCACCATGCCTGCGCCATCGTGGTGGAGAAGTTTCCCGACAGCACTGATCTCTACTCGGAGATAGGAGCCATCACCCGCTTGACAAAGGTCAGCCTGGTTTACTATTCAGAAGCACATTGAAAAGCATGGGTTTGGATTTTTATATACAATATCAGTCGCAGTAATGTTAAACTAGACGGGAACACAGACAGCGCCTACCCCCACCAAGGCTTATTGGCCACTTTATCACCATGTTGCATATATATGATAAAAATCAGATATATTTACCATGTATGAAGACATTTTGTGAAAACTTTTTACAATTTCAGCTGTTAATAGATTTTAAAAACTCTATATATGCCACCCCACAATCGAATCCACTGAATTCAATGTTGTCAGGTGGACTCTGACCAGCTTCAAGACAACCTAAACCAGATGGAGCGAAGGTGCAAAGCATCATGGGATCACCTCAAGGTCATTGCAAAACATGAGATGAAACCAGCGTTGAAACAAAAAATGTCCGACTTCCTCAAAGACTGCGCAGAGAGAATTATCATCCTGAAGATTGTGCACCGGAGAATCATCAACAGGTATATTCTATGTTGAATTGAATTAAAACTTAAAATGCATTTTGCTAAATGTTATAATCACTTATTTTAGTTTTTGTAATTTCAACTGTGACTTTCACTACATATTTTTGCAAGTTTAAGCATTGTTTCCACCAGAGTGTCTCATGATGACAACATGTTTTTGCAGGTTTCATGCCTTCCTGCTGTTCCTGGGCCATCCAATATATGCGGTACGTGAGGTCAGCATTCATCGTTTTAGCAAAATCCTGAGCGAGTTTGCCCTGGAGTATCGCACAACAAGAGAACGTGTGCTGCAGCAGAAACAGAAGAGGGCAAACCACCGAGAGAGGAACAAGACCAGGGGGAAAATGATAACAGATGTAAGTGGTCTTCAGTCACATGTGGACGTTCTCCATTTCCTGATCCTTGTCTCTGTTTAGTTTGCATTTTCTCAATTCTAGGAAACAATATGAACAATCCCCTGACACTGGTTATATTCTTAATCTGGTTAAAGCACCAAACGTGGCCGTTTGTGACATGCACACGGCATACATTTGTCATGACATCAGCACAGTTTCTCGACGCTGACATGTATAGGTTACTGTAACAACAATCAAGTGAATTGTTTTTGGTGTATCCCATTCTGTAGCTGCAGCAGGCTAAGAAAATCCAAAGCAAATACCTCCCTGCATGATTAAAATCCCTTAAACCCAGAGGAGTCGGCTGCTCAGAGCGGACTCCGCGGCGAGAGCGCTGGCAGGGGCCCCTCGGTCTTCAAAGGGACGCTAATTCAATCACTGTGTGAAAATTCAAACCTTTGGATGTCCCTGAAGGAGCAATAACAAGACCCACACCTTAACTGCGCTCTTTCAGAGGTGTTTAGTCTTTGTTTCTTAGCTTGTGCGTATCCGTTGTGTTTTCGATCTTTTTCTGTCGTGTTTGAAATAGTTTGACATCTTGTGAAACACCCTGATTCTTATCCAGGGTTAGTTGAGTAGATTGATACAACTCTGTTATCTGTTTGAAATTATACTGACAACAGTGGCTGCTCATCTTAGCTTAACCAGACTGAAAGCAGATGATCACAGGAAGCATTGTTAAATGCAAAAGTACAAGGAGCCAGCTTCCAACTAGATTGACACAGCCAAGGGCTCAACTTGCAAAGTTAAAGACAGCCCATGTCCCCTCCTTCCATTACGTTTCATAAAAATCTGTTTATAAATTACTGATAAATATCAGTTTCCTGTGCCACATCCTTCCACCAAATTTTGTGGTAATATGTGTTGGTTACCACAAAGATTAATCAATTCCAAAGTATGATTAATCTGCCTTTGAGGCGGTTCCCCCTCGTTTATGGTCTTTATGCTAAGCTAACTGACCCATGAATCCAGCTTCATTTTCATCATTAGATTGGAATCAGTCTCCTTATCGCAGCATAAAACCAAAATGCCAAACTATTCCTTTAAATTCATAACTAAACTGTGAGCTTCTTTATGATTTGAGAAAAAAAACGCTGCGTCATTATGTGAATGCGGTCTGTCTACACGTCTGAAAAACCTCAGACTGCTTCCTGGAAGATTTTCACTTGACACCAGCCGTGAACAGTTCTTTATTCACAACACACCTCACTGCATATCTCTGTCTATCTCCTTCATCTCTGTAGAGTGAGGATGACGATGATAGTGAGGTAGGGTGGGGGGGGTGAGTCTGTGTGCAGACAAGTGCATGCTAACTTTGTGTGCTGATTAACATGCAAACAGACTGTAACTTTGAACAATAACTGGTTAATTAATTATGATTGAGGAGTAACAAAGGATGAGTCATTAATAAGATTGACATGTGTATGTCTGCACGTATATGCCTCTGTGACCGCTCATGAATGAGGAAGCTTGATGGTGTTGACAGGGAGAGAAGAGGCGGCTGCATGATATCAGCTGAAGTGAATCTTAGTAGGAGGAGCCTGAGATACTTCCTGGTGGAAAATAATGGCGCTCAGGAGGAGTCAGAGCTGAACTCTTCAACCTGGCATGTTTGCGGTGTTGCAAGAAACTGTCATGAAGCAATTCTGTAGCTCTTTGAAATGACTAACTGTGTTGGAAATTTGCTGTTTCACTTGTTGACCCGTATAACAAGTTTGACATTTAAACCCTTCACTCGAATAACTTTTATGACATTTTGCAATGCGGGCTCTCCCTCCACCCCGTGCAGAGTGGTAAATTTGGCAGTTCCCCGTCAGATGCACAGGAGATCCAACCTCAGGGGATCCAGTGCGCTGAAGACGCAGCCGAACATGAGAACATGAAGGCCGTGCTGAAGAGCAGCCTGTCTGACGGAGGGAGTGGGACGTCCACTGTGCCGGGCCTCCGCACACGCACCAGAGCAGCCAGCGTCAGAGGTCCGTCTCACAAACATTTGTCACAACCCCTACACAGCTTCTGTTGTCATTTCATCTTCCTTCCAAAGAATTGAGACTCGCTTTGTGGCTATAAAAGCTCCCGGAGCCTTTTTGTTCTCCCGATCTCATTCTACCTGAAGCTTTCAAGCTAATCTCTTACTAGCACTAGTTCATATTAACTGCATGATATCAACATGAAGATGTCAGGCTGTCCGATATGGATAAACATGACAAGATTAAGTGTTAGGTATATGCACTCACATAAACACCTCAGCTGTATGACACTACACCTGCTAAGTATTGTTCTTATGGTTTAGGGCGTGTTCCCCCATGGTGCTCTGCCAGTGATGACCCAGTCAACTGCACAGACGACACTGCTGATGAGATCATGGAGAGGATTGTCAGGTCAGCCACTCAGGGGCCCAGCCAGCGGACGCAACCTCGAGAGAGGAGACGATCCCGCGCCAACCGAAAATCACGTGAGACATGTCAGCTACACAGCAACACACAACAAACACAAAAAGCTTGTATTTATAACATTTCCTCTGTGCGTTTATTCTTCTGACGGCACAGTGAGACGGACACTGAAGAACGGTTTGACGACGGAGGAGGCCAGCGCTCTGGGCTTGTCCAGTGGTTCGGAGATGCAGGTATGAGATGGGCCTGGATCCCATTGGACATTAAAATGCCTGGAAGCCCTTTTACTGCCCCCTCCAATGCCCACCACCACCCTGGCATCCCTCTGCTCCCTGACTTGGCACTTATCCCCCTTAGCTTTGATGAGTTGATCTCATTTTTTTTGCCTTTGGTTTACATAGGCTTGACGCAAGTGCTTCCTGAGGAGAGAGGATAGAAGGCTGAACCAAGATTTTATTCACAAGCCAGCAGGGCGGAGGGAGCAAAAACAGAGTGCCGCATTCAAACCACCGAGCTTTGCTGCTGCTGGATAAACATCGTCGATCTGCACTCACAAGGCCTAATCACCATCACCCTTCGAACGTGACATCGCTCACAAACACCCGCGCTTAAAGTGTATTTTTTGAGGACAAGGTTGTGAAAAGAGCTGGCAGGGCGTGAGCTTCAATCTCCGTGGCCTTGACTGAATCAAGACGGCTGAGAGTGTGGTGCAGACTCTTCACTGACTCGGGTTTAGTGTCGGTCCCGCAGCTTTAGCATCAAAATGAATCAAAAGACGTTTTCATCTATTGAATAGATGGATTTGTGCAGAGCTATTCTGTTATATACTACTGTGGTAGTTTTGTGTTTCTGTTCCATGTTGCTCAAGAAGGTGCTCAAATAAGAAACAAATTGCACTGGATGCGAAAGTATCAATGGAATGTGAAATCCCTTGACACTGATGAACCACTCTGACATCTGAATCTGAAAATACACTCAACAATTTACCAGCAATTTAACAGTAGCACAGTTTTTAATCAAATCAATCAACGTCGACAGGTTCAAGGCATGCGTGTATTAGTTCACCGGCTGAGAAGGAATTTACCGGAGAGACGATCCAAGTTCTCTTTGAGGAGAAAGAGACATCTCAGACTAATGCTCGTCTCAAACATATTTAGTTATGTGTCATCACGTGACCTTCTCTCACTGACGGTTGGGGACAGGTTGAGTTTGGGGCACAATGTTACAGGTGAGCAACATTCATAAGTTATGTCATTTTATTTTCTAGAAACTATGAGCTGCACATTTCAGAGTGCCTTTCAGAGACCGTTATTTATTAAGATGTTTTCAGGGAAATAAAAAAATAAAAAAATCAAGGAGATGTTACTACAAATGTGCAGTCTGTGAGGGGTGAGACCATCATGTTGCAATCATCACCATGAGCTGTGATTTATTTTTAAACCAGTGTTTTTAAAACTTGTCCTGACAAGAATTTCAGTTCTTCTTTTAATTTCCATGTTATCTCTTGGATCAAATAGTTTTGTTATGAAGATAGCTTTAACGTATTTATGACAACTTAGGGTTGGTTATGCACATTAGCTGTATCCTGTGGCCTTACTGTAGAATATGGGCGTGTGTTGTTCCATTCTAGTCGACATCTAGGTACAAATGTAACAGTTAAAAAAAAATAGATCAGGCCCAATTAACATGTAGTTCACTGGAAATCTCAGTTTGTCATGTAGAGTATTCTTTCATTATTTAACTATGAATGTGAACATCAGGGGTTACATGATAATCAGTAATATGGGCGCACAGTAAAATCTAATTTATCTACGTTAAAACGTGTATAGAAGTGAATAAGGAGCCTGCAGTTCTAACTTTTCATTATGTGTTTGAACTGGCAATGTGCTTTTAATTTGGAATGGCCTTGGTTACACTATAACATGTTTCCTTAAACTCAATATCATGGCTTGTAATTTGCAAAGTTAACTCATCCACTCGCAGATTTTTGTGATGGAAACATAGCCATTTAGAGGAAACTAGCGCAACACCATGCTAAAGCTACAAGAGAAAAAAGAAACACACCAGCAGTACGTTGTTTTTGTTTCATTTAGATTTTACTGAAAACTATTCAGCACCTTAGACTCAATGTGTAGCATGCAAAGTAGACCTGAAGTTACGAGGGAAGGGCTCATTGTTTTCCCAGATTGTACTGACGTTTGTCAAAAACGAGAAATAATAGATGTGTAAAGTAATAAAGGGCAATGCTGTAAAATGATGTACATGTCATGGCGATGTCTTTATGTTCTTGTGGGTTTTTTTTGCTCCATGTGTAGAATAGTGTATTATAGACTAAAAGCAGTATTATTCTAAATATAATTTAAGGTGGTTTAAAAAGGTGTCACTTCTGCTTGAAACAAAGGGAGGTTCACTGTGGTCGTTGGAGCTGTAGGGTTTGTGTGAGTGTTGATGAAAACTTTTTACTTCATGGACTGATTTTAAATTTACCAGCTACTCCTGTGGAATCCCTTAGAAGCCTTTAGATTTCATTGCACCCATCGTTTTTGTTCTTTTCATTTAACGTTCGCTAACCACACACTCACACGTCGCTGCCTGTGCCATAACATCACTGTGGAACTTGGGACACGAGCACTACACAAACAAGGCTTCTGTTGCATCTCTGTGCCCACAGCAAAAACTATGTAACAACTACAATAAAAAGGCTCATTAAAATGTCTTGATTGTTTATTTTAATTGTCTTTCATTATGTTTTCACTGCTTTGTTTGTCAGCAAGATTACACAAAAACAACTGAATGGATTTCCATGAAACTTGGTGGAGGGAAGTGGTGTGGGTCAGGGAAGAACCCATTACGATTTTTGTGTAAATCAGGGATTTTTGTATTCACTTGCGGTTGGTAAGTTGTTACTGATAAACACTTTTTATCTTAGTTAAAATCCTCCTCAAGGCGTTTTAGCCATCAATCAATAAAGCCAAACTAAAGTTTGTGTTGTTTTCTTCATTTCCTCCAGGAAAAGGTAAAGGAAAAACACAAACCAAAAAAAACTTAAGCCTCTTTATTTTTAGTCCACACAACCCATGCTTCAAGTCACTTTATGATCAAGGTCATACAGAGGTCAATGACAAGCTTACCAATCCAGCTCATCGGGTGTTTACACATGGCCATCACACAGACCTCAATTTGGTCTTGTTTAAACTTCCTATTTCCACAGGTGTTATGGATCTAAATGTGATTATGGTTTGCTTTTAATAAATTGCAGAAACATTACAACGAACAAGACAGCTACCTTTAAAAAAAGGGGAGGGCGGTGGGGTGTAGGAAATACAACTTAGCATCAAAAAGGGGGAAAATTTAGCTGAAACAGTCTCAGCAAATCCAGTGCAACCCAAGACACGTTCTGCTTTATACTAGCTGAAAACTAAAAACAAAGGGAACATAATAAGAATTATATAATTTGTATCTCCTAATCATAATTCAAATTTATCAATGTACATTTTCCCTGAACAATTACTTTTGCACAGTACCTTAGAATTGTATAGATAAATTACAAAATGGAGTATTCCCTTTCCACCAGACACGATTTACTTTGTAAAACCCCTGAATGACTGACAGGCAGAAAGCTCTTTTTTACATTTTATATTGCTACATTTTCAACAAAGATTAACAAAAAAAAAAGAAGGATTTTCAGTTTTGCATATTTTTCTTAGGTTTGTGGTTCGATGTGCATCTGCACCAACGTCAAATTATCTCTGAAATAGCACCAAAAGACAAACACCTGACCATTTTCAGAGGCCAGGGGTTTATTAAAAGTATGTTTTAGAAATAGTACATAGCAAGTGTGCAGTGCAGTCTAATCGTCAACCACAAAGTGATTAGATTTATAAAATGGCAAAGAAGTAAACAACACTACCTGTATATTACTAGACACATAGCTGATCCTCAATCAACATGTAAGAGTCCGACCTGACAGTTTAAATCACTGACTTGTCGTCCATCCCAGGGTCACTGTTGGAATTTTAAAATTCTGCAATGGATTCAAGAGAACTCAGAGCTGCTGTTGTCTGGTTTGAATTGGAAACTATAGAAGAAGACCACATCCTTGATGGATACTCACAATTCAGGTTAACTTCCTTTTTAAAAAACTGTTTAGGTATCAGTTCATCTTGAGAAACAACTGAAGCTTAATGTTTAAGGTGTCTAAAAAGTTTATATAAAAATGTGTACCCAAATTATAGCTATTCCTGTGAGGGAAATATGTAAATGTTTACATTGTTTTTAAAAAATACTTTTTTAAACCATAGTTACTCATGAAGTTATTTCAATATACAGCACCAGCATGTAGATCATGCCATGCCTTGGGTTTGGTCTAAAGAGCAAATCTGTGCTGCACTAAGAAAAGTGTAACCCAGAGAGAAGTGAGACAAATTGACATATCTTCAATGAACTTAAAGTGCCACTCCAGTCCCACTCCAGCTTACTAGACTTCAGCTATCTCAACCTAACCACAGTACGCATTTCCTATCTAAGACAACTGATGGGGAGCTTCAAGCATTTCCATGAGGAAAGTGTCAATAGGTGTGTCACCAATCAGCTTGAAGAAGAAGAGATGCTCCAAGCACTTTAAGCCAATGGATCGTAGTGCTGGCAGTCGAAGAAGGAGCTTGGCAAACCTACAGGGAGGAAAGAGGAGGTTGTTCAGTTTGACAAAGTAAACAATGCACCAGGGATGTGAAGCAAATGAATCGAACTCTGCTAGGTTTGTCAAAGCTGAAGTCATTTACCTTCCCTGCTGCTCTGGGTATTTCTGTTTGCAGTAAGCTTCCAATGATGCATAGACCTTTTCTCTCAGGAGCTCCACCTCACTGGTGTTGGAAAGCCCTTTAGCATCTGCAGGGAGATGCAAAATATTTTCATTAGGAACTTAAAAAAAAAAAAAAATCTCTCACTAAAATATCTGCTGTGTCTTTCACTGAAAAGTACCTGGATTGAAGAGGACGATGGCTCGGAGGCAGCCCAGCTCTGTTTTGTCCATTTGCATATCTCTCATTTTGTTGACGAGCTCAGTAAGAACCCTACATAACAACAAATGGAAAAAGTGAAAAGTTGTACATGTAAAATTCAAAGAGAAGATGACAATAACACTCTCATAAATATTTAAATAATAAATGATATATTATAAAATTACCTGTCAAATATGGCGCCGACTTCTGCACTCTGCACACTCTCCCTGTGTTAAATAAAAGCAGCCGTTATGCAGATAGTAAACATACACACAACATAACACAAAGGCATTACAATAAGCTGCAATTTTTAAGTCTTTATTAAGGTACCTGTCGAAAATAGCCCCAACTCCTGCACTATGTGCACTGTCTCGCTGCAGCTCCGAGGCAAGGAGGACTCCATCTTTCATTGCGATGGAGCGATGGGAGAATGAGGCGATGAGGAGCTCATTCCACCCTGACGAATGAAATACAAAAAACACAGGTTAGTTATGCAGCTGTTGTTGTGTACATTTGTTCGGAAAAAAAACAACTGGACAAACTCTTGCTCAACTTCATAAAATATTTTTTGTGCATTCTTTTGCTATATTCTTATATTTAACTGAAACCATCTTTCCATCAATTTAGGTGCACAACGACCTAATTTAGGGTTTTTACTCTTGCTATTCAAGTTTTTACATTTAAATTATTTTAAATAAGTCAAACCGTGAAGTACAATATTGTTATTATTCTTGTGTCATTGGTTTAATGCAGGTTTAACCTGAAACAAGAAAAAAACTTCAGAGAATGTTCTCAGCCTTGTTATGTTAATCATCCAACATAAATGACTGCAACATTCATAATCTTCCAGTTTGAAACTTGTAAAGAGACGATGTAGATCTGATCTCTGTTATTTGTGTTGATTTTAAAGATAAAGTTTCATCATTCATGACTACAGGTGCTTGATCGTACCTGCACGCAGAAGGATGACCTGGTCATCAAGGGGCAGTTCGGAGAAATGAGGGATTCTCTTTGCCCATTCCACCAAGGCAAACAGCTGTTTGTCGGCAGTCTGACAGATGTTGGTGACTGCATCATGGGGCTGAAACCAAACAAGATTAAAATGGTTATATATCTGTGATGACAAGTTGATGACAGATTTATAATTAAGAAATCTTCAAAAATTGAGCTAAAACTAATCGTGCTGCCAGGAAAAGTTGATGACTGACACTAATCACTTATATACAACCACAGATTGCTTTGTTCCAACCACTCACAGAGTTGCCTGCAGAGCCTCCATCTGAATGAAGCTCGGTCTTCTGCTCCACTGCCGTCTCTGCCTCCAAGATCTTCTCCACGGGCATCTCCTCATTCACTCCGACGCTGAATTCCAGCTCTCCTTCGCGCTCTCGGTTCCTCTGGCGCTCCTCCTGGACCGCTGCAGACAAAGCATAAGGAAACCATAATGGTGAGAAAAAGGGAATGAGATAATGGTAACATGAAAGAATTACTGCTGCATTGACAAAATCCAGTTTCCAATTCATTGCACACCCTCTCTGTCCTTCCCACTCCCCATTGGCCACGTCAGTGTTTTCAGTTTTGAACCATCCTTGCAGGCAAACAGATCTCATCAGTTTCAGCTGTAGATTAGCATTTTCCCATGAGGGGCATGCTGTTCTCAGCAGTTAGCCAGTCTCTCTGTGTAGCCTGTCATTCAAGCCCTGTTGCACATGACATCAAACTGCATGTGTTCACTCCCCTGCCCCCCTTTACTATTTCAATACAAATCCACTGCATCAGATTTGTATAGTTACACACATTCAGCAAAGAACTACAGCTGGCTAACTGTTTACTTTCTAAACTATCACACTTACACACATTTTTGAGTCATTTTCACTCAGAAATCCCCCAGGGAAGAATTTTGCATGTCTAACACAATGGGCTAATTCTCTGAGTAACATTTAAATACAATAGCTTTAGCATTTTAGTGCCATACTCATCCATCCCTCATCTTTTCCATCTTCTTTTATCCATTTTACATGTTTGACCACTATTGAAAGATGGAGAAAGGGTAGAGTAGGAGAGAGTGAAGGGGAGAGATGGAGAGGGGGTTAGTTGTATAAACCATCCCCAATAAGCCCTACTCCACCCTTTAGAGAATCTAATCAAGCATCCACCCTCACATAGGTGAGTTCTCCATAGGTGAGAGTGGATGCTTACGGATGATCTTAACTCTTGTTTGTACAAATCTCTGATATACGTCCCCTTTTCGCAGCAGCATGACAACTCACAGGAAACCAAGCAGGCTCTCAGTATAAATATAAACCTCTGATACAACCTTCTTGCATACCTTCCCTCTTCATGCCCATGGCCAGGCACTTCTGGTAGCGGCAGTACTGGCAGCGATTGCGCTGGCGTTTGTCGACCAGGCACTCTTTGTTATCCCTGCAGGTGTAGCTCAGGTCTTTACGCACAGTTCGTTTGAAGAAACCTTTGCAACCCTCACAGCTGTACACGCCATAGTGCTTGCCTGTAGATTGTAAACATTTTTTTAAATGTTAACTTTGAGGCCAATAGGAGGACCAAACACAACCAATCAAAGTGAAGGTCTGAGAGACATTTTTTATTTTCATTAGGTACAGTAACAGATTTATTTTGTTAAAATGTTGAGGAATCACCAGCAGAGAAATTAAATAGTAAAGGATTATCCACACTATAGTTGCCAAAGAATAAAACAGTGTCCAGCTGAGGCTTCACTTCTGCTAATCCTGCTCTTAGTGCACTAACTCACCAGAAGAGCGGTCTCCACAGATGACGCACAGGCGTTTCTGAGACAACATTATTCCAGGGCTGTGGGCTGGCATAGGCCTCAAGCCAAATGGAGGCTTGATATCCTCTGAGCTGCTGATCGAGTGCATCCCTGATATGGACGCTGAGGAAGAGATCTGGACAAAGTACAACAAAATTCAACTTTTGAACACTGTATACAGTGGTTAAGTGTATGCAGTGATAACATAGCTTATTTGGTTTTCATATTTAAATCACCTTTAATAAGGATAAATAACGATGAAAAGAAAGTGAAATAAACAAAGGCCATATTGCGCTGGAAAAATTAAAAACCCTGTAATAGTGTGACTAATGCATGGCGAAATATCCTTCCTTTACTTCAAGGTAGTCACCCCAATCAATGCGCATTTTTTATTTCTGCCATGCACACTAATAAAGGCTTGTTTATTTTCCCTTGGTTTATTTTCTTTCTTTTTTGAATCAAGATGTAACACACTGGCACCAAAGAGCACCTAGTGGAATTTTATCCAGAACAGACGTGCTGCTTTTTTGTTTTGCCTTTCTACAAGGATGAATAGTGTTTTAACATTAGTGTGTCTAGTGTGCACAAAATGCATCTGGTAACAAATAACATGCAAACTTATATTCACCACATGTGTGCATATTGTAAGAAAATGCATTGGGGTATACCCTAAACTAGCATGTGTAGCATCTGCCTCTCGGAAACAACATGCAACTTAAACACCTAAACTGAGTGGAGTGTGACATCAGTTCTCACACTTACCTGACTGTTGCTGATGGGTCCAAATCCCAGAGAGGGGGAGACCACGGGGGAGTTAAGTGAGGGACTAATGACTGAGAAAGGAGAACCCAGGATGTTGGTGGGGCTGTTGGACGCTGAACTGTTGGGCTGCTGTGAGGACATGGCTAGTGAGCAACCCAGTGGAGAGGAGGATGTCCCGTCTGAAGGATATCAGTCTGAGGGGGACGACACAAGAAGATCGTTGAGATGTTTTGATTGACCATAGGAATAAAACCAGCAGACATTTTAAGATGTTGTTTTCCCTCTGTGTTATTACATTTAAGAGACAAATCATAAGAAGCAGGCTGAGTTTTAACACATAGTGACGACACTTATCCGTTTTAAATCCCCCGAATAGACCACGCACAAACAAAAATGGTGCTTTGAAGGACTAATGTGATGGAACCACACCATTTACACGCTATACTGGATCACACGATCCGCGTTGTTTAACAATATCACCAACAGCTCGGGCAAAAACACACTGATGGTTAATAACACTGAGAGGAGCTTTGTTAAATCGGAATAAACCACAACACACGTTACCATTTGCTTTAGTCTGTGTTGGATTAAGTTAGCTGCCTCCCGTTAGCATCGCAATAACGTTACACGTTTGCTAAATGTTGCTAACGATACGCAGTTGCGCTGACATCAACGTCACACTGAGCCGATTAAACAGATTAGAAGACACAAACACAAACCAAACAGCCTCTGACAGGGAGTTTTTACACGAGCCCACATGTGTAATAATCACTCACCATGAACAACACCCGTATGTTGCTTTAATCGTTAGCTAGTTAGCTAGCTGCAAACGCGTAAATGTTGGAAAGACCCCGGCTAGGTAACGTTAGCTAACACTAGTGGCCATACGTTTGACCGCTGCTGAGTTTTTTTTTTTTACCGTTTTATAAAACGAAGATTAACACATACCCGGTTCTTCATAAAAAAAACATATGTGGCGATCGATAACACGACAGCGTCCGGACGACTTCAATAAAACTGCACAACTGGCGCAGCGTTCTCTGACGGTCTCTGCGATTAGCCTGCTAGCTAACGGCTAACTCAGCTAAGGTAGCTAGCATCGGGCTAATGCGAGGCTCAAGGTGATCGTCTGGAGAAGCAGTGGCCGACAAAAACAACCGGCGGGGCGGTCGGAGGGTCCGGATCACTCACCAGACACTCCTTCGACGCATTGTTGGGAACCACTTGACGATGCTGGTCGTGTTCGGGGAAGAACCAGAACGAGAGGCCGACACTCACATCCAGTTTCCTTCAACTTGACGCTGCCGCTGCTGTTGTTGTTTACAGGCCATGGCGGCTCGGTGCCAGCATCCCCGGAGTCGAAGCGTCTCATGGGACCACCCAGAACACTGGTCATATGATCCTGCTGCACCACATGCTGCTTTTAATCACGCTGACTTCATTTGCCTCCATTAGTTTTTAATTATATAAAAATGTATTCACACAATTCTGATAACACCATTTGTGACTCGTGATATTCTGAGATTTGAGCAAATGAAAAGTCATCACAGCTGGATACCTCTGATGCATTCAAGAGTGCATAATGGAAATGACTGGGACAACACATCTGTATTTACTCTGATGAAGTTTCTATGCGTGAACTCAGGTGCACAATGACAATACTTGTTGTATAAGTATTGTAAATAGTCTCTCTTTACAATTATTTCCTCGTTTGATAGTTTTCAAACCATTGTGTTTAAAGTCAAACAGTGGAGTACAATATTGTCATTATTCTTTTGTGTCATTTGTGTCAAGAAAAAACATAATTTCAGAGAATGTTCTTGGCCTTGATATTTTAGTCGTCCAATATAAAATACTGCAACATTCGTAATCTGCCACTTTGAAACTTGTAAAAACATGATGTAGTTCTGATCTGTGTTATTTGTGTTGAATTTGAAGATACAGATCCACGTAATAAAAAATAAAATGTATTAAAATAATCATAATGCCATGTGTGGTTTGTGACTCATGATATTCTGAGATTTGAAGTCATCACAGCTGGATACCTCTGATGCATTCAAGTGTGCTAAATGGTAAATGACTGGCACAACATACATCTGTATTTACTCTGACCGCAGTCTAAAAGTGTCTTACCTTAATAAACTTTTATTGTTAAGTTTAGATAAACTAAAATATGAACATAAATCCAAACAGAGCTGCTGTGTAGTTGATCTGATTTGAGCTGCCACACCTACACAAATTGCTGGGATGTTTTTACCTGTGAGACAGGAGGAGAACAATGTGTTTTTGCTCCAGGTGTTTGGTAATATGTTCCATTTCCTATTTCAACACAAAGGTTTCTTTTTTCTTAATGCTCCTCTTTAAAATTCCTCATCCTCCAGCAGGTTGATGATGATGTTTTAACCTCAGTTTACAGAAGTGAGGTGTAATGACTTTTTAGCAGCAGTTATGTCTCTTTTCCTATTCTCACGGTTAGATTGTTTAAAGTAATAATTTGGGGATCAAAATAAAAAAAAGGGGTTTCTAAAAAAATCTTTCCGTGTAAATTTACACAAGAGCAGCCCCCGCAAAAAACATTACATCACAGTACTTTTTCTATTTATAATGATGTTTTTTCAAATAAGATAAGATAAAACTTTATCTTTATCCCACACTGGGGAAATTCCCTTGTTGCAGTAGCATAAAGGTTAGAATGAGGTAGACAAGAGATACAAAAATATAAAAGAAGTCAACAGAATAATATACACTCTGCAGAAATATTGTTCGTATAGAAAAAAAGTGCTTTATTAAGGTGAGATTAAAATATCATATTTTAATAAAATATACACACATTTCCTGGACACTTACCATGACCCATACAGACACTGGCTGATGCTATTTACCCACTTTTGACTTATACTTGGCCCAGGCAGCATTACATTCATGAAGTATATCTTCATAATCTAATCAAAATCTTAAATTGTTCAGCATTTTACGATTTTGTTGTCTTTAAAGTCTAGACTGAATTAGGAAAGAAAGTTTCTATAATATTTGGCACCTATGCATGGACTCATTTACAGACTCATTTTCAGCTTCAAAACCTTCTAAGACTGAACAAGTCTAAGGTTCTGGTGAAATCTCCTGAGTGCAATCGTTTTATGTGATGATAAGTTTACTGTTACAAATCCATGTGTTTGTCTGTGAGATACTTTGACTGTTGAAACTATGTTGCTGCTATTCTTGGACAGGTCAAAAAGAGATTTTGAATTTCAATGGGACCAACCTGGATGAATAAAGGCTAATAATAATAATAATAAAAAAACACAGAGATGTTTTCCAATGGTCAAGGGGAAAGTGGTTTACATGTTTTGCCCCTGTTATCAAAACAAGGCCGGTTCATCTTTACTCTTGACTCGTCACTGGTTGGCAAGATGTCAAAGACTAATTGTCATTGCTGTCAGCTGACATTTGCAAATACTGGAGAAGTCATTAATTTATCATTAGACTTGTAAAGTGATCCATGTGTGATCACTGCATTTCCTGGTGCAGGTGGAGCTTTGATCATGTCGTTTCATTTCATCTCTACAAACCAGACAGCGATGTACCATGTGCAGCATGAAGGACAGTAACTTGAAAAACTGCTTTGCCTGTAGTTGCTCCCCGGGACGTGTCTCTTAACAAGCTAAGTGGCATTCTTACTTTGTTGAGCAGTGCACTGTGGACAGCCTACTGCTCAACACAGCAGCACAGCACCTCATGTTCGGACCAGCACCTGCTCATAACACTATATTACATTAACATATATGCTTCTTTTAGTATTTTCTTCTCAACGTTTTTGTTTGTTATGATCATGACCGAAAACAGATTCATCCGGATGAAAAGGAGTGAAATTCTTTATCTGATCTTAATCTCAGGTTTGTATTTTGCATTATTCTTCCTGCTTTATAATGTAAATGTGTAAAATGCAGAAATGAGGTGTAATATTTAGTATTCTTTTAAGAATGTAATTTCAGATTAAGGTTGGAAATCATCAATATAATATCTTATTGTTGTTGTTGTTGGTATTCAAACTGCTGTGAGGATTGTTCCTGCTGTATGATGTGAATGTAAAATGTATAAAATAAGTATAGACATTGATATTTTAAACACTGATAAAAGTTTATTTTTTAAGAATGTATGTGATGTCAGATTAAGTTTAGAAATGATCAATGGATAAAATAATATTTTTGTGGTTGTTGTTGCTGGTATTCAAACTGCTGTGAGGATTTGTCCTGCTGTACAAGATAAATGTAAAATGCATAAAGGATTTACAGATTTTGAATAGAGAAGAAATGTCACTTATAGGAATGAAAAATTATGTCAATTTAAGGTTAGAAATAATCAATGGAACGAAGAATATTTTTGTGGTTGTTCTTGCTGAGGTTCAAACTGTGTCTCCTCCGCTGTCTACAGGATTCAGCTTTTTTACTGTGGAATCCTCAGACTTTCATCTTATTGATCAATCAAGGTCCTACGAAGACGCAAAGAGTTACTGCAGAGAGACGTTCACTGATTTAGCCACAGTTCACAACTTGGCCGACATGAATAATTTGACCAGTTTAGTTTCAACTGCCGCTAACAGAGCCTGGATAGGACTGGAGGCCGGAGCTGTGAGGATGTGGCACTGGTCCTGGCCTGATCGTCCAGTGGATTTTTTAAACTGGAAGAAAGGAGAACCACTAAAAACCAATAAAGATGCATGTGCGGCAATGGATGAAGGTGGCAAGTGGTTTGAAAGTGACTGTGGAAGCAAGAGGAGATTTGTTTGTCGCGGTAACTGAAACTGTTTCTTTATTTCACATTTTAAAAATCCTGTTTGAATGCAGAACCACATTGTATTGTATGTGATAAAACAATGTAAATTCTTGGCACTTGCAGGCAACAGTGAATCTAGTCAACTCGTGTTTATCTCCAGCCCCAAGTCATGGAGGAATGCTCAGACTCACTGCAGGAACCTGTTGCTTGATCTGGTGAACGTACTCTCAGAGAAACAGAATGAGGCCGTACGTAATGTGTCCATGTCACAAATTGTGTGGATTGGCCTCTTCAAAGATCCCTGGAAGTGGTCGGACGGAAGCAACTCATCGTTTCGTTACTGGAAACCCAATCAGCCTAACTACCGTGAAGATCAGGACTGTACTGCTGCAGTATTCAAAGACAAAGGGCAGTGGAATGACCTGAAGTGCAGGAGCAAACGCAAGTTTATCTGTGGTGGGGGTAAGTTGTTGGTCTTTATTCATGGAATACTGTAGAAATGTTTTATTTGAAGCTTACGCAATATACAACAGAGCTGCATCTGTCCTCCTCTCAGTGTCTATTCATTCATTACTGATTTTTACAGCAAGGAAATTATTTCCAACCACCACCAGTCCGACACTGACCCCAGAGACTACGACAACAATTCAACTGCCAACAAGTACGACGACTCCTCCCAACACCTCTCCTCAAGAGGTCATGACAACATTTACTTCCACTACTCCAACCAAACAACCAAACACGACTAATGATTCCACAGAAGGAGAAACAACTGCCGCTGACACGACAACAGCAAATACCACAGATGTCGTACACAGCACCTCAAGCACTGAGGTCAACAGCACGACTCATGAGCAAGTGACCACCACAACACAGAGCACAACACGGCTTTCAACTCTAACTTCCAGAGGAAACTATCAGTCTGTTCTTCCAGGTTTGTTTACAGTTACGTATGTGTCATTTGATAATTTTGCATATGTTTTGCAACACAGATGCAAATGTTTCTCTTTGTGTGGTCGTCCTTAAGGAAATCAGATACTAATCCAGCAAAACATGACATGGATTGATGCCATGACTTACTGCAGGGAGCACCACGATGACCTCGTCCACGTTACCACCAAGGAAATTCAGGAGGAGGTGGCTGAAAAGGCAAAAAACGCCACCTCACCTCACGTCTGGCTCGGCCTTCGCTACACCTGCAAGTTTAACTTTTGGTTCTGGACCAGGTCGACGTCTGCCTGCTACCAGAACTGGGCCCCGGGACAAGGCCCTGAACGGGCATATGACTGTGGTGTTACAGGCGCCATTAAGGCCACTGGGAGGCAGCAGTGGGTCGGCTTGCCTGAGACAGAGAGACTGAACTTCATCTGCTCTACATGTGCTGGCTGAGTGTAGGGCCTGTGACACTGCAGATGTAGTAGAACCTGCAGTTTGAATGATTCTGAGTGAAGGAATAACACCTTTGTGCTGGTTATGTTCATATTGTTTTTCATGGTTGATCTAACATTCATGATTTGGACTATTGAGACGCTAAGCCAGTCAACTGTGATGGACTTCAGCAGAGGTATCACGGGTGTTTTAATATTCACGTATGTCGCCATACTTTTACCTTTGTTAAAATACAGCTGCCTTCTCTATTGTTGAGACTGAATTTCATTATATATGGAAAAACTTGCTCGGTGTGTAGGCGTGCACATTCACAGTCATGGGCAGCAAGAGTAATGTGAGAACACTGATCCGCTCTATGCCTTTCACTCGAGGGGTTAATATTTGCATGTTGACCCCCTGGGTTGGGCCCCAAGATTGTCTTTTTTAGACCACCAGAGTACGGCCCTGATTCAGACGGCCTGCTGTCCTCGCTGACCTGACCTTCGCCGGCAGCCACACAGAAGACCGAGCTCAAAGACCCTCACCGTCCTCACTGCACACTGGAGATACACGGAGCATTTAAAGTCATGGAGACCTGCAATGCTGCATTTTTAGAGATGAAACCTGCAGTTATTTGATCTCAAACTGTACAAAATGATTTAATCTGTGAACAGACTCTTTTCACTCTCGTCACACTGGCTGGTTCATGGAATTTATTTTTGGCTGTGAAATGTTTTTATTGTTCCTTTTTTTTTTACTTTGCACAATACAGTACAAGCTCCCTTACTTTTTTAAAATAATATCTTCACATACATGTTGGAATGAGCTTCAGTTGTCAGTTTGTACATGTTAACATCAACGCTCCTTCTGGTCTAAAAAAGAAGAAACTGTGTCAAGAGTGATACAACACAGGAAATATTCACTGTGACGGCTGTCTGTTTAAACTGTTGTAAAATAAATGATATTTGGTCTTTGCTGACGTGACTCCTCAAATAACCAACCGACAATAAAATGATATGCCTGTATCACAAAATATATCTTCTGTGTATTTCTGTTTGGAAAGAAGTGAAGGTAATGTTTTTCATCACCTTTAATAGTATCCAGACGTGAGGATACAGCACCAATTAAAACTGTCGTATAAGTATATGAGTATGTTTGCATCAGTGAATGGAATAATCCCATATAACCGCTGAATATTGGTGCGTATATCTTGTAATCCGGTGCTGAATTTGGATTTCGGCTTTTGCATGCTCAATGAGGGCCTTGTCACTTCTCAATTACCACGGACCATTACACATGAGTGTGTCATAGCTTAGTTTCTCTCTGAACGGCCATTGGTCAGCGAGCCTCCCATCAGTTCAATGTTAATGTCCCATTGGGTCCAGTCAGTCGGAGGCTGCGCCGCCTCCCCCTCACCACCTTTTCTCACCCTCATCTCCTCTTGTGTGCTGTCCAGCTGGCTCTGACCTCTGACCCTTTCACCCTCACTCCTGACCCCTGAAGACATTCCCACGCCACACCCTTTTGTGTACATCTCCCCATGGTAACCCCGTGGTCAGTCCATCTGCATTTGTAGAGATTATGGTCATAAACATAATTCACCTTCACTTAGATCAATGTAATGCAACCTAATTCGGGCCTAATCCCAATTCAAGTGTGAGGCACTAAAAAACTAAAAACTATATATTAATTGAAGGTGTGAAAACATTCTTACCAAATACAGAATAAAAACATAGAATATTCTCTATATATTGTTTTTTTCATAAAATGTATTTTTTTTAAAAACAAAAGGTTAAATGCGGGAAGTGAATGAAGCAATTTTAGGTTAAAAACCCTGGACTGAATTTATCCATGACCATCATGAGAAAACACACTTTCTGGATTTTGATTTAATTCAGATAACTACAAAGTTGAAACTTTTTAAAAAAGAGTGCAGATATTGGTGTTTAATTCTACATCTCTCTACCTGCCATGCACGCTCCTGTCTTTCTCCTCTCCCCCTCTTCTTTTGAGTCTTCACCCCTCCCTAGATCCCTCCCTTCTTTTCCTTCTGTCACTTTCACAGTTAATTGTAGAAAAAGAGATTTTCTCCATTGAGGCCCAGTCTCTTAGGTAACCCCACTCCTGCATGAAATGAGATGGATAGAGGGGAAGAGACAGAGAGGGGGACAGGGACAGGCAAACTGAACATGCAGCGGTCGAGGACGGACGCAGAGGAGCATGGGCTTAACGATATTTGAACAACATTAGAATGAAAGAATAACACTTTAATATTTCATATGCAAAAGGACACATGATTAATAGATGCTTCTCTGGGACTATTACCATTGATGATGCATAATGTAAGTATTAAAACAGTTTATTTTCTACTAGTAAGAATGAGTTAATTCACTAATACAACATTTTGAGTACATAAAATAGAGGGGATTGGTAGATGAAGAATATGTGCAAATAAAAACAATTCAACATTTCCTGGTAAAATGTTTTAAAGAAAAAGCTACTCTCGTATTTTTGATTGTTTCTTTTGACAGCTCAATAATTCTTCTCTCTCCAAACAAGCAGCAACTACTGAAACAAATGCTTTTTAAAATTATAGACATTTTTGTATCTGCTTTAAATCATCTGTAATATTTTATCACCCTCCATCCTCTGCAGGATTTCCTCCTCGAGCCAAGAGATGCCACTGACGCTCTTCCAGAGTTTGACAGGGATTCTGGCGTTGATTGTCCAAACGCAATTCTTGTATCACTTGTCTGTATCTAGGAGTTGTGGATGGACATCATACCCCAGACTCTCATTTACTCAGTTTTATTTCTTGATGTTATAACATCGAGATCAACATCTGATTTGATTAAATTCTATGTAGCTGTGCGCAAAGAGGAGACTTTTAATCATTGCTAAATGAATGTTGGTTTAACAGGGCTCAGACTGAATTGGGAACATTTTTAAGTGTACTATAATTCAATATTTGTAATTATCAGAAAATCAGACTTATTAAAATTTCCAGACCCTGGACTTGGACATTTCAATCCCATGAGTCAACCCTTGTGGGCTCCTTACCTTCTCCAAAGCTGCAGCGTTGAATTACATTTCGCAATTTCTTATCAATTTGCCTAAAACTGAAACTGTTATATTTGTTTACGAAACTGAACATGTGGATCAGCTGCTTATCTTATTTAGTGGACTGCTAAATGTGAAAAAGTTCAATTTGTATATCTTGCTATGTGCAGCGTATACAATTATTAATGGTTGAGGAGATCATTTGGCACAGGGCCACATGGTTTGCAAAGTAAAATGGAGGCTGACGGATCTTCCATGTGCTAAAAGAATCTTTGGATTACTT